CAATAAATCGTTTTTTAATAGATTATCTATTCACATGGCAAAAACAGACAATAGAGAATAATTTCTAGGCTTTCATTCAAAATTAAATGCACGGTAATCGGAATGGTAAATGGCTCGGACAATCTTTTCGGTTCTCGCGTTTGAAAGCAGTTCTTTCTTCATCTCGACCTTTTTGCTAGCGCTCTTCATGGCATGCAACGTGCTCGACATGGTCAGGTGGTTTAGCGCCTAAAACTCTGTGTTTCAAATAATATTTTTGAGGTTTGACCCGTTCCAGATGCGGCTCGCGGGACCTCAGCTTTGTCGAAAATATTTAGGAATTGGCGTCGCGTAATGTCAGAGCGATCTTCGGGGTAGTAGATGACCTCGTACTTTTTGTGGTCCTGGTAGAGGCCGCAGAATCCTGAAGGAGGTACGTTGCGAAATTGTGGGGTACCCCTGGAATTACCGTTAAAGTCAGCTAACAGGGTGAATAATGAAAATGAGAACAAATAGAATGAAAAAGCTTCCTGAGACAAATTTTGGATAAAAAGAATGAAATTGATTTAATTGAATTATATTCAAATATGATTTTTTAAAATTTTTGAAAAGAGTAATTGTCACTTAATTTTTGAAAGCAGGGTAGTATTGACAACAGTGATGCTCCTATTGAATGCCTCTTACTCGGTATGTGGAAAAGCGTGAGAAGCCTGACGATCGGATTCTCGGTGACAAACGACATGTGCCCGGCCCAGGATAGATAGACATCTTCGGCAAAATTGATGAATCGTCTTGTCGCCGCACTGGCTGTTGGTACTAAATCAAAACTTCTATACCATTTTGTTTTGTATAAACCTACACGCAAAAATGGCCATAAATTGACACGAATCGATCGGTGGGATCTCGCACAGCCGTAAAATGAAGTGGCGGGTTTTTCACCGGCCATGTGGCGATGCCGTTGTGGATAGAAGCTGTCGTTGAGGAAGCATGGGCTAAAACATTCAAGTGACTGGTTTTGGAATTGGCGATGCTCTAGTAAGCCAAGCCTACTTTGCTACTTCCAGAGCCTGCATCCAATTTCTGCTCAAATTGGATGCCATGCAGCATCCGGAGGAGATCGCAAAGAATTGTGTGGATGATGGTAGAGCCAGTTTTGGGGACTCGGCAGTAGAGTGAGGCCGGGATTCAGGTGTCGTTACAAACGTGATTAAGGATCTTGGTATTAGACTATTAGCGGGGGGTGATATTTTTATACGACAGCTTATCGCTAATTTGATTTTTTGCCTATCCTTCACTGTTTAGAAAATAGATTTTGTTATAATAGCGTTTTTAGGCGTTTCTGAATGCCAGAAACTCACAAATTTTTATATCTTTCCCAGAAATTTCAAACATTGTTATAATTTTCCGTGTAATTTTTATAGCTAACAGGGACTTCAACTGCTATACTAAAGATCAGTTCTCTTCCCTTAGAGAGGTTTGCGAGTATTAGTTCAGACAAATGGATTCCACCCCCCGCTAACAGCCCAATACCGGTATTTTACATTTGTAAATATACGCAATTAGTGTTCAAAAAAATGTAAAACATTCAAGTTTAAAACCTCACCAACGCTTTCGGAATTGTCAAATTGTAGCTCGAGATCATGAATCGGCTCCGTGGCTTCCGATGCTATGTAGTAGAATTACAGGCGTCTTTTCCGTGATTTCCCTGTGTTCAGAGCTCTAAAAACAACTGTAAAATGAGTGTGAAATCTTTGAAAACCCATTAAAAATCCCAACCTTCCATGCCGGCGCTGCATCCAGAATCCCTTCTTGGTGTACCGTCACCAAATTCTCTTCTGTCGTTAGTAGCAGCCCGGAGCCCAGGTACAGTACACAGGCCGCCAAGATAAAACCCGCAAAGTACGTTGTATTCCGGAATGCCGGCGATGCGGAGTGTTTTTGGAGTAGCGGAACGGACAGGTAAGAGTCCATTCTAAAAAATCTAACTGTTGGCATTGGCCTGAAAATTGGCCGAGAAGACTTCCAAATAAGCCAATAAAACCCCAGGAATCGATTTAAAACGTGGCCAACATGAGGGCTGGAGCGGAACAGGTACTGCCGGAAAAGCGGATCGAAAATTGTACACCGGCGCGGGACGTGGAGGTGGTCAGGCCGTACGTGGGGGCACCGCCGATACAATCGCCCGCACTTTCGATCCGCCGTCGGGTACCTAGAGACTTTCCAGGAGCAACCCAGGCCCACCCAAATCTGATCGTCTCGCCTTGGGTATCCATGAAAACACCGCGATTCTGGAGCTACATGCCGGATACGATGAGGTATCGGACGGAGAAGATGTCGAACCGAGTTGGGTTGACGATTATTGCGTGCAGGTTGGTTGGTTTGATGGGGTTTAGCTTATGTAAATTATTGCATTATCGGGGCAAAATAAATTTTTGCCGAGTTTGAATAAATTTACATTCAAAGTGCTTTTGCATTATCGGGGGACCGAATTTTTTTATGCACACAGAAATTCCTAGCAACGTAATATTAAAAATTTGGTAGTTCTCGGAAAAATGAAACTATATTGCTTGTAAAAATTTACCCGAAAAAAGTTCGACATTAAAAAAATGGTACCTTTACCAAATTATACTATAGCGAAAAATGGGTCTAAAGAGAAATTGTAACCTATCACCCGACAATGCGAATACCACATAACGACTGGTCAGGAATTTCGTTGTATGTTCAGTTTTAATTTTCATTTTGCCGTTAATTAAATCAATTGCAGCAACCCTGGAAAAACCATTTTTTTTAGCCTCGGTGTCGTGTTCTTCGTCGCCTGTCGCTCGGCATTAAATTCGTTGGAAAATGATGAACCGAACGTGCTTGCGGGGTTTGTTGCGATACCTTGAAAGACATTAAATCTGAAAATATTCAGTTTTGAGTACGATCCGAATGACAATCGATACCTAGAAGCCACCATTGGGTCTACATGCAAAGAGGTACAAATCAAACGATAGTTTAATCAGCAAACCCCTGAAAAATCTATTTTTTAACAAAATTTTATTTAAATTGAACTAAAAATTTATATTTTTTCCTGTCTATGCTCTAATTTAGTGAACAATAAATTATATTCGTCCGAATTGGCAGTAAACTGTGAAAACGTCCATCTATCCGGGCCCATGAAGAACAAGACGCGGAAACCGAGCGAAAAGTTGCTGCCGGATTTCAGCCTCTATGGAAGGGTTGCTGTCTATCCAGAGTACGCCTAAACCTTCATACCAATTTTCGTTTACAGTAACAAAATGGAAACCCTACGCACGGATCGACTGTTTTGGGACGATATTGACGCTCAGGTTGGGTTGAGCCGGAGGGAGGCGTTGTTCAAAAATGATCATGGCGGATTTGGGGGTATGTTAATTTTGATCTGTTTTGTAGCTTTCTCAGATTTTTACTCGCAAAAAATATCCCAAATATTAAAATATTTTTTTAGTTGTTCCTTAAAAATGCTTTGTTTCAGAAGCGGCGTTCGAGCTTTTTGACCAATATCGGCATTATATCAATGGCAAGCGTGGAGGGGTTATTAATGCGCCGACATCTTGGGCATACAAAAAATTATTTGCTATTTGGACTCCGATTTTACAATTTCTGAACCTCTACAAGCTAGAACGGCTTCTTTAGGAATTTTTGACGCCTACAACTCAATTTTTCAGGTCGAAGCAGCAGCTTTCCAGCACGGCGCGGCTTCGATGATGTCGATTGGGTACCGGCAAGTGGAAATACAGGCGGGTTAAGAATGCTATGTAGATTTATGTAGCTATGTATTCATGAAACTTTTGAAATGATAAATTACATTATCATCAAGCGGCAAATTTAGTCAGCCAACAACCTGACCTTCATGCACCCGCTGGACATTTGCAAGCAGCAGCGAGAGTAGGTTTTAATGCCCGCGTTTTAACAATTTTTAGCACGGTGAATTCGCTCGATTTCGCTGCGGCTTTTACGACAATTGAGAGGAGCGGGCTTGGCAGGTAGATACGAGCAATAGAAAATAGCATACTACGTTTAAAGATTAAATCTACGTCATCTCCCAAGCACTCTAAATAAATTTTATTTCCCCCGTGTTTTAGATGACGAAAAACTGCATAAATCCCAGCATTTTTCTGAATTTAATCTTGCAGTTTTATGACACTTTTCTGCATGGTAAGCTATCTTACAATAATTTTTCAGGTTCAACGAGGCTCTCGACCCGTGGGGCGATTTGCGTATGATGGCCATGGTGCGGTGTCTGCTCAAATTCGACGGAATTTTTGTCCTCGGTGTGCCGTTGAATTATGTTTTATTATATCTTATTGCCTCTAGGTTTTAGTGATATCCATATTTTTTTAGGCGAAGACGCGTTGTTCTGGAATTCTCACCGAACCTACGGATCGTTAAGGTTGTCCTGGCTAGTGAGAGGTAAGCCTTTATCACACATGGAAATCGACAAACATACTCTTTGAACTTAGTTCCTTTGACCTCTTTTTTACGCTCATTAATTTATACTTTGTAGGCCACTGAAACGCCTCAGGTCGGTCTGGAGTGGAAAGATGGAAAACGGAAAAGCTCTCGAGGAATCCGCAGAAATTCCTGACGAGCGCGGAAGGCGACTCTAAAATTATGCCGGCCATCATTTTTGCAAAAGGTTTACTGTAGAGATGGAAGATAGGAGGAGAATAATAAATATATTTTCGATGAAGGTAGATAAAAGAGGCTCGAAAAACACTCTTCAGAAAGTTTTAACAGTTCTCTTAAATCTCTCAACAATAACATTGAAGTACTAACACCGAAACGGTCAGCACAAAACACCAAGGCGACAAAAATAATTTTGAATAATAAAGAATACGCAAATAATAACGATGGTAAAATAGGGGCAGGGCACTATTATTTTTGCCTTGATGTGACCTTTCCAAACCCCTGTGTGATTGTTGATCAAGAAAGCAAGATGATCCAGGAGAGCAAAAAAGGCAGGCCCCCGATACGATGATGGATCATTTGTACTGAAAATGGAATAAGCGCGCCTGGCGGACATACGATTCCGGTTGGTAGCCCCCCGGAAAAGTGTCGGAGCTGCTCTAGGGGGCTTTATTTTAGCGGTACCGTATGTTCAAGAAATTTGCTTTTGCGTTCGATTAAAGTTTTGATTAGCTATGAAAAGTGCTTGGTTACTATTTTTCTTGCTGTTGTCATTATATACTCTTAATGTTAAGTATGCTGTCTTACAACGAGTGTTTTTTGAGCCATCGGCAAAACCTTACGCGACCTAGCTCCTCTGATAGAGGATTGAATTCTGAACAAGATCACGTTGTTTATTTTTGCGAAATAGCTGTCTCCGAAAATTTAGAAATATTTATAAAATTAAAAAAACTCGTTACCGTCTCTTCCCATGAGTGCCCTTCGAGCAAAAAGAGAGGCCTTGGGGTGCATTTTTAAAAATGGATAAGATCAGGGATATTTATTCCGCAAAAAAGATAACGTAGACTTGTTAAGAATCGAATTCTGTATCGAATTCTGTATTTCTGGTCGTAAAGCTCAAAAAACACTCCTCGTTAGCGGTAATAGGTTTCCACTACCTGATTGACTCGAAGACAAAGCGAAAATGCTTTATTTAATTTGATCTGTTAGTATCCAGCACGATAAATTTAAAATCCTCTAACGAACCCACAACCTATAATCTATAATTCTGACCTTCCGGTCCCTTTGAGCTGCCAGAAATTTTACCCTACCATGTTCCGCAGCCCTACCAACCATCCACCGTACGTCCGATCAGTTAGGCGAATCCACTCCGGAGCACCGTCAATGAACCTCCAGCATTTTCCCCAGACAATCTGATGCCTCTGCTAGGCTTTTGCTTTTCTGTTTGTGTGAAGAACTATCAGCAAGTGACGACAGTTTGCCTGGGAGTTTTTGGCATCGGCTGGATTTTGCGGCACGTATATAACCCGGGGAAAGAGAATGACTGACCGGGTTACGGTAGCGTCGGAAAGGGAAAGCCAATAAATTCTCTGAAACTAATAAAAAGCGACATTCACCATGAAATATGGATTTTTGCAGCTGCTTTATTTTGCTGGCGTCAGTTTTGCAAGTAAGCTGGGTGCTTAGAGCTGTTCTATTACCGAGGGGGGGGGGGTTTGTACCGTATTCAACGAAGTTTGATCGCTAGAAATTTTCGATTCTGGGTTTTACGATTTCATTACATTTTTTTTTCTGAATTAAAGCGGCACATATGCTAGCTATTTTGTTGACGTAAACATTGCAAGTAAGCTGAGAGATTGGAGATGTTCTATTAACGGGTGTGGGGTGTTTTGTACCTTATTCAAGGGGACCAGAATTCCTAAAAAATGTGCATTCCATCACGCTCTGTTCCACATATTTTTTCCATTTCAGTCGAAGATGTCTGGCTGGGGCTCCAGGTCAGGAGCATGGTAAGGTGGTGCTTTCTATCCTTTAGCGAACGTTTTAGAAAGAAACCGGCATCGGCCTCGAATTTTGTAAAATTCCAAAAACCGGCTCAACGATCGTGGGCAACATTCTATGCGATGTGATTCGAGAATACCATGGGATCACCTACGCGCAGAATATCTCCGACAGGCTGGATGGGGAATTGTGGGTGTTAAATTGCTATCAGTTGTTAGGAGTTTTGGTGTCGACAAATAATTAATAATATTACAAAGACGATTTACACGAACAATGCCTTTTTAAATGTTGCATTTATTAAGGGGACAAATTTTACGATTTATTGATCGGGAATAGACTACCGTTTTTATGCAACCAAATTCCAAAAAATAGGCTTTAAAGCTAATTAAAAACCAAATAATTGAATATTTTTATTGCCCATATATTTTATTTCAACCCCCCCCGCCCCGAGACATTCCCCCCCCCCCCCCCCCCCCCCCCCCCTTCCCAAAAAAAAAAAACCAAAACCCCCCCCCCCCCCCTCCCCTCCCCCCCCCCCCCCCCCCCGCCCCCCCTTTCCTTTCCAAAGGAAGGGGCCCCCCCCCAAAAAAAAAAAAATTTTTATTAAAAAAAAAACCCATCCTATATAAATTTTTTTTTGGTCGGCCCCCCCCCCCCCCCCCCAACCAAAAAAAAAACCAAAAAAAACCCCCACCACCCCCCCCTTTTATAAAATACTCAAAAACCACCAGAGGGGCGGAGAGTAAAACAAACAAACACACAAAAAAAACCCCTTTTTTTTATATATGGGAAGTAGGATTCATATTGATTTTTATTTTATAAGATATATTACAAGTAAAATTTATTAACTAAAATTTAATTATTATTGAAATATTATTGAAATATTCGATCGTTTACAGTATAATTTATAGGAAATTAGTCAGAAAATTCACATGATCAAAAGAAAATATATAGAATACGATCTCTCGGCTTCGTAAGCGCAATTTCTCTGTTCCGGCTAAGTTTTCTAATAATTCTTTTGTAAAATTCAGCCCCTGCTTTGCCCACAACACCTTCAAAAGATTCAATAACGGCGTGGCAAAATGGAAACTGCAGAAAAAGATAAAATTCGCCGTCGTCCGAGACCCCATCGACCGTTTTGTATCGATGTACGGCCATTTCTGCTCGTGAGTGATTGCTGGACGCCTTCACCAGGTTCAGGCTCTTACGAAAATGCCAAGGCCGCGACATTCACGAATTTGCCGAGAAGGTGCACGACGCACTAATGCATCGAATCTCATTTGTGAATCGTGATCCCGATATCAAACTGCATGTTCTGCCTCAAGCCGAGTCGGTTTTGTCAATTTTTTCCCTTCTCTTCCTTGCTTTTCAGTTTCTGTGATCTGGGCAGCAACCTGGAGCAGTACGAGGTCATCTACTGGTCTGAGGATCGTCTGAAAATGAAGAAACAATTTGAGGGGCTATTTGAAAAGGCGGGAGTACCAAAGGAAATTGTCGCAAAGGTAAATGGAAAATATCCTTAAAAACGTTATGGTTTTGTAGGTGTTACGGCATTTGACCGAGTCAAGCACGTCGCATGCGCAGAGGGACAACGACCGAAAATCGAGGTTGAAAGCGGCGATTGTGGAAACGCCGAGTACCGCGCGGCTAGTGCGCGCCATTTATTATGCCGATTATTTGGTGTTTAATTTCAAGTAGCTTTCGCAAATTTATAAATCTTCAAATTTTATGATTGATTGAATCTGGCAGTTTGAAAGGGAAAAAAGTGGATGCCCCAAAAATCGCATTTTTGGGACATATTTTCGTGCAGAAAGACGGTAGCTTTACGCAGCACGTGTGGGACATCTATAGGGAAGCGGATGTGTGGCCCGGTGCGCCGCCGAGCCAGCGCGTAGATCGTCTCTGCGCCCTCTGGGCAGGCCTCCGCCCTGATCTGTTCCCCGAAGGGTCGACCCCCCCCCCCCCCCCCGCCCAAAAACCCAGCCCGCGGTCGGCAACACTGACCCCGTTTGTGAGTGCACTCCCCTTGAGCCTGGGTAGTTGCGTAGTTTATGATTCCGGCAAACTTGGGTCCCCTGTCAAACCTGTACCTAACAGAGGTCTATACAGGGTGTCCCTATAAAAAGGCCCCTCTAACTCGACGCAGAAGTATCGGATCGTAATGATAGTAACACCATTCGAAAGCCCTTGAAACGGCGAGTTTGCAACAACTTTTAAAACAATGTTGTTATTTAAACCCGCCATTTTAAAAGCCATTTTGTAAAATTTTACCGCTGTTCGCGCTTGCATACGAGCTAATTTGCCTAAAATTCTCCAAACAAAATGACCGTAGGTAGCCGTTGATTAGACGCAGAGGCCGTTGCTTTATGTGTTTTGGGCGTTGTAAAGTTCCACGTTTAAATAAAAATATGGTTTTAAATTTGTTGCAGTCTCGGCGTTTGATGGGCTTTCGAATGGTGTAACTACCATTTCGATCCGAAAGTTCTGCGTCGAGTTAGAGGGGAATGTTTTTTTATTAGGACACCCTGTAGACCATGTAATGTACTTGTTGGTTTGAAAGGAAGATTTCTTACACAAAAACGCTTTATACGATCCAGGCATTTCCATAGTATCCTTGATGAGGCAATTTTTTAAGACGTCGGTCGTTTGGCTAAATTTATGGATAGAAACGTACTATTGATACTGCTATCGATACTACTAATGATGTGGTCGGCTTATAGCTGTTTTTCTAAGATACCGTAATCTTTACAGCAATTGCAAGCGTCCCTTTGCATCGCTTTTTCTAAAATTACGTTGTTACGTTTCTAAAATGAAGTCCAATTGAGTTTATAAAATCTAGTAAGCTATGCGAAAAATCGAGCACTCGGGTTGAGTTCTAGATGTACGCAGATCGGCGGCCTTCCCGATTTCAGTCTCAGATAACACCGATCGGGGTCCATTTCTGTGCATCGCGGCTTGAAAACTGCACACTCTCTGTTGCAGGGCTCTTGCCCTTAGCTACCGTAACCCTCCGTCAGCCATCCCAGGGCGCTAAAACTCTTTTTAGGCGTTTGCGATAATTTAAAAGCAAAAGCTCAATAAGTGCTCAATCTACTGTATTTCCTAGGATTGCCTGAATTTTTTTTATTTATGTATTCTTTCAATACCGGGTCTGGCGCCAAATCTTTGAAAACAATTTTTTATCCAATAGTTTTTTACAATATTTTACAATGTTAGACTTGCCTGGGCAACTTAAAAAGCCCCAAGGACAAAGTGTGTATTCCTCCGTCTATCCCCAGCTATCATCTGTCATTTGAGAAACGTGGATATCCAATCTGATCCGTCCAACTGATCAATCATACCATCCGCCCCGTGTTTTTCGAGTTCTCCCCCCCCCGTCCCTGGAGCGGGCTTGTGCCGGGTGATCAAAAATCCGGATCCCAGGTACTACAGTCCGCCCAGCCAAAAACATTATCTCCCCAGAATGCAGTGCGGTTCGGAGGGATAATAGCTTTTACTAGGGACTCTCGAATAATCTGGGGCCAGAATTGGCTCGAATTTTCACATAGATGAAGCGGCTGATGCCGATGAACGTCGGGATTCTCGAATTTGCTACGCGTCTTTAAAAACAAAGATTCCGGTTTCTATGCTGCTTAGCACCCCTGGAAGCAATTAGGATATCACCGTCTTTTTTTAGGTACCAAGCTAGTATGAACAGCCAATTTTTTTTCGAGAATTATTCTGATTTGATCGGTATAATTTCTTAGTATCTACAGGGTGTCCCAAAAAAAGCACGCTAAGCATACATCCGGTCAATTCCATACTTTGCACAAGGGTGTATCGGACCAGAAATAACCACAATCCTGAGTTATAGCCCGATCGCTACAGTAGTTTTCAAGTTATCGCCAAAATGCTCTTTTTACCCGATTCTTAACAATTTTTTTCGGCCATTTTTTTGGCCTTTGCATCGATTTGCATCAACTTCCGGCTGCGAATTCCTAATTTCGCTTAATATCGGGGTGACTTTGAGTTACAAAATTGTTGAAATCAAGAGTTATTCGATTAATTTTCATCAGGTGAAAATTTCTAGGGGTCAAGAAGGCCTGCCGCTTTATTTCATTTCATATTTGAAGGGTCGATTCGGACGAAATCTTTATGAAAAACGCATTACCATTTTTTTCACTGTATCTTGAAAATTACTGTAGCTCGCGGGCGATAAGTCAGGATTGTGGTTATTTAGGGTCTAATGCACCCCTGGTCGAATTTTGGAACCGATAGGATGTAATGGCGAAATGCGGGAGGGGTGCTTTGTTATGAGGCCTTTTATGAGTAATTTCATAAAATTCACCAAACCAAAATATGGGAATGCCTAACGTCGTCGACTCCTATTTATATGTAAAAAATTCAAGGAGCTCAATTTCGGTAGATTTCTGGGGAAGTGCGGGATGTAACCTCGTGCAATTAAGTCGACTTTCGGCCGTACTTTGATTGTAAGAACATTCACCCAGGGAAACAATTCTTCGGAAATGGACTGCTGTTCGATTTCAACTTTCCCTTTCATAAAATAGTACTGATAGTCTATGAGCATTTAACAGCATCTTTGGCATCAATGTTTAAGCGTATGGTTTAAGGCTTTCTGACGGCTTGCTGGAACGGCTTCTCAATTCGCCCGAGTCCCACATCCGTCAGGTGGCAAGTGTTGTCAAAGTAGGCGAGCTTCCGAATTTTGTCGTAGGTTTTGAGGATTTGGTTCTGGCGGTCTAAATTTTAATTGCCTTTGATGGATTGAACCTGTATAAAATTATTTCATTAATATTTTTAACGTGTCCAAAAATCTCTGATGATTCGCGCCGTAGCTTACCTATAAACGGTTCCGACAAATCGATCGGGTAGCAATTTTTGCATCATCTCAATACATTTCTAGCGCGCTTTCGTGGATCCGGCGGAAGAAAGGCTGGTTCCTAAATGTCAATGTTTGGCGACAGTATCCAGATTTTCAAGAACATCAATCTTTTATTTTTTGAGAAATGGCGTTTTTGCGCTTTGTAATTTTTAGCCAATCAGATAACCCTAAATCCGTAAGCTCCTACATCATATTTGAAGTCCAGCGTCGATACATTGCCATTTTTCTCTAAAACATCAATGAATCTATTCAGATAGTCCATTTTGTAACCATCACATTTATAGGGGCTGTCGAGTTCGAGGAAGAGCTTTTGCGTTGTTTTGCTAAAGCATGATTTTGCTAAAAGTTATGTTACTACTCAAAGTACCTCATTCTGCCAATTCCAGCCCTATATCTTTCCAGAATTTCATCATCCCGCCTTTTGACATATCGATAGTCCTGAAGCTCCAGTACATATCTTAAAACTTTTAATGTTCCGAGCTGAAGGATGACTTTTTTCTTTATTATTAGTAGTTTTGTGGGTCTTACCGCAACAAAACAAATATGTAATCCGGTTGCAGCCCTTCCAGGTAGCTCATCACGAATTCGGTCTCGGCTAAAATGATTAATTTTGCATACATTTTTGAGTTATTACGATCTTGTTGGTGCATGCCGATACAGTGACCAGCTAGTGAGAATAAGTCCATGGAACTGGTAGTGGAGGGCGGAAACAGCTTTCGGACAATCTGAAGCCAAAGTACAAAATTTTATTGCGCTACCCAATATTACAATATTTTTTGCCTTAAATTAAAAAAGGCTTGATTGCAGTTTACCCCCCCCCCCTTTCCCCAGCCGATCACCACCTACCGTATCTCGGCTCCCTGTTCATCTACAGGTGTGTAAGGTATACAAAAATGGGCTTCTTGCTCTGGCGAGCATCTTGGTATACTTTACACACCTGTAGCTGAACAGGGAGCGGAGATACAAAAGTTGGATGCCAGCTGGGGGGGGGTAAACTGCACCCTAACTTAAAAAAAAACATACATATTTGCTGCTTAAGTTTAGGTTCAAAATACCAACCCGGGGCCTGACTTACATGCGCTTGTTGCGTCGCCCACGAATTACCAATGATCACAATCTTCAAAGAGCCAGTGTTATTCTAAAAGTATGTAATGCACGATGTAAGTCTTAGGATCGTTTCCTCGTAGTTAGTAGCTATTTTTATCGACTCAATGGTCTATTTAGCTGGCTAACCTGATATGAATAATGTCCAAAAGGGGGTTTGCTCTTGCCAAAGCCATCATCTATAAATTTTCCTCCTTCCAGTCGATATACACTATTCCGGAATTTCGCATTCGCAGCAACTGTCGCATTCTCAACTAAACAGTACTATAGTTAAGTTATCGCTAAATTATGGAATTTAATGACCAAGAAATACATTATCTCGCAACTGATTCCTATCTCTCTATCTCTCTCTTCTCTCTCTTTGTCTCTCTCTGCTCTCTCGCAATTCTGTCTTTCCTCCTGAAAATCTCCGATTTCCCGCATTTCCGAATTTGAATTCGGCGGAGTCAAGCATTGGATAACTTTCACTGACCACATCCCGGCTTCACGATCCATTCCCGCGTCCAGAAGATCAACCAGCAGATCAGGAAATATTTTAAGGTGTTATATGCATTATCATAAAGCCCAAATTTCAGAAGAGGTTTCTCGTAGATGTGATGTGCAAAAATTGCAGTGCTGAAGGTGGCAAAGAGAGTGGTGGTGGTAACTAGATCAGAATAATTACGGTAGCTAATTTTTTATTTACCGAGAGGCTGATGGTTGTAAAAATCGCCGAGGTATTCGCTGATACGCAAAATCGGAAAATGAACGAGGTACAGTGCATAAGAAATGGCGCCAATATAGCCGAAATGAAGATTTTCGAAGGTGAGGGTGCTAAAATTGGTTTCATCGCAATCTCGCTCTCTCGCTCCCTATCTCTCACTCTTTTCTCAACTGCTCTCTCGCCTAATCCATGATCCGCTTAAATCCTAACCTTTTTGCTCCCTTCCATAAAAATAGAGCCCCAGCAACCGTAACGATAATCTGGAGCACCAAGTGAAGATGCTTCCCCTCAACTTGAACAGGTAAGAAGACTATCAACGTCACGAACAACATTCCCAACGTGATAGCGTTTTCTTTCTGTTGACTAACACCTGGAAGTTTTACAGTGGAAGATAGAAATTTTGAGGCCGTGAAAGTTCAGCTTCTAACCTATGATCTCGGTCTCCTCCTCGTCTTCCGTGTGATACGCAGCTATCATCCCGGCCAAAAATTGCCATAGTCTTGCCAGTGGTCGGTAAAACCCGGAGATGTCGGTGGCTTGGCAGCGGTAGAAGAGTGACAATACAAAAATTAAGACGAGGATCCAAGGTCCGACTTGGCGATCATCTGAAACTCCAGATTTTACAACTCTAAAGCAATGGTTTCGACTTTCTGATATTGCCACATTACAAGGTATCGATTGCCGTCAGCAGTGCCGTCATTTCCGCAATTAAGTTTTTAATTAAGTGTGTAAGCGAAAGTTTGAAAACTCGTAGGCAACGACAGTAAACGTCGCCAAAATTTCCCAAAAAATCGATGCCCAAATTGGTGATTTTAATGAATTTTGTTTGATATACTTTTTAATTATAGTAATAGATTCTAGGAAAATGGACTTCGCTATATAAAAACTGCGCCAAAACTCACCTAGCTTGACCCTCGATAGCAAAAAATATATTCGGCGGAACCAGATAGAACTGCATCTCAACCGCCAACGACCAGGCGGTAAAAAACGGCATCTTGCAGTATTCTTAACAAATATTTATCAGCTGTCTTCTCTATATTACTAATTTTAATGTTACAATATGTACTACTCCCCGCAAAAAAGTCGCCTTCTCTGATCTGGAGCATATTAAAATTCACTGTAAAATAGTAGTGATGATGGGTAATGTGAAAATATCGATTCGCCCACTGTTGAGTATACGAAAACATCATTGCAATGCCTGGAAGGAACGGAATTTTTAATAAAATTTTTTAATAGCTATCCCACAGCCTAACTACATATAACTGCCGCCGCCATCACCATAAAATACAAAGGACATATCCGCTTCTTATTCGCTTGTAATAAAGTTCAAAAATAGGTTCGTGAAAAATTCTGCTCAGTTTTAGATTGGTGGGATTCCTGCGATTAAATATGGAAAATTACAAAAATCTAAAAAATAAAAAAAATAAGTATTAAAGCAACAACCCACAAATCGACGCCAAGAAACCCTAGGCAAAAACGTGAGCTGAAATGTGTAGCTGAGGATTTGGCGCGAGGATGGCCAACGCACGGAGGAGGGCAACATTTTTACGGAATTTTCGTTTTTCTGGAATATAAAAAAAGATCAGTCATCTTAATTTGTACAAATCATATAAGTTTCGATATAAAATTCCGCTTCGTTTTTAATTATGTCATGTCCCAGGGAAAACAGATAGATTGAAGAATGAGTCGTTCAAAATTACGACTTTCTATTTCACTCTGGGAATGCTCCATCGGGAATTCGAATTGAAATTTATTTAATTTGGAGACATTAGATACTGTGGAATTTTTTATTAAATTAAACCAATTGGTTTAGAATAATACGAATTTGTTAAACTAAAGTGAAGTAATTAACTATACTAATTTTTAAGCATTTACTAATCGCGTTAACTTGATCTTAACAACTTTCAGCCGAGAAAACAAAAGTTGGATGCCAGCCGGGGGGTGGTGGGGGGAAACTGCCCTCTAACTTTAAAAAGAAACATATTTGCTGCTTAAGTTTAGGTTCAAAATACAAACCCGGGGCCTGACTTACATGCGCTTGTTGCGTTGCCCAAGAATTTCCAATGATCACGATCTTCAAAGAGCCGGTGTTATTCTAGAAGTAGGTAATGCATGATGTAAGTCTAAGAATCGTTACCTCATAATTGTGGCTATTTTTATCGGCCAAAGGTCCATTAAATGGGCTTACCTGATATGAATAATGTCCAAAAGGGGGTTTGCTTTTCCCAAAGCCATCATCTATAAATTTTCCTCCTGCCAGTCGATATACACTATTCCGGAATTTCGCATTCGCAGCGATTGTCGCATTCTCAACTAAACAGTACTATGGCTAAGTTATCGCTAGATTATGGAATTTAATGACCCAGAAATACAGTATCTCGCAACTGATTCCTATCTCTCTCGATCTCTCTCTCTCTCTCGCTCTCGCTCTCTCTCTCCGCTCTCTTGCAATCTGTCTTTCCTCTTGACAATCTCCGATTACCCGCATTTCCGAATTTGAATTCGGCGGAGTCAAGCCAATCACACTTATGGATAACTTTCACTGACCACATCCCGGCTTCACGATCCATTCCCGCGTCCAGAAGAGCAACCAGCAGATCAGGAAATATTTCAAAGTATTATATGCATTATCATAAAGCCCGAATTTCAGAAGAGGTTTCTCGTAGATGTGATGCGCAAAAATTGCAGTGCTGAAGGTGGCAAAGAGAGTGGTGGTGGTAACTAGTCAGAATAATTACGGTAGGGTCTTTTTTGCTTACCGAGAGGTTGATGACTGTAAAAATTGCCAAGGTATTCGCCGATACGCAGAATCGGAAAATGAACGAGGTATAGAGCATAAGAAATGGCGCCAATATAGCCGAAATGTAGATTTTCGAAGGTGAGGGTACTAAAATTGGTTTTATCGCAATCTCGCTCTCTCGCTGTCTATCTCTCTCACTCTCTCACCCGCTCTCTCCTTTGATCTGTGATCGGCTAAAATCCTAACCTTTTTGCTCCCTTCCATAAAAATAGCGCCCCAGCAACCGTAACGATAATCTGGAGCACCAAGTGAAGATGTTTCCCCTCAACTTGAACAGGTAAGAAGACTATAAACGTCACGAACAACATTCCCAACGTGATAGCGTTTTCTTTCTGTTGACTTACACCTGGAAGTTTTACAGTGGAAGATAGAAATTTTGAGGCCGTGAAAGTTCAGCTTCTAACCTATGATCTCGGTCTCCTCCTCGTCTTCCGTGTGACACGCAGCTATCATCCCGGCCAAAAATTGCCATAGTCTTGCCAGTGGGCGGTAAAACCCGGAGATGTCGGTGGCTTGGCAGCGGTAGAAAAGTGACAATACAAAAATTAAAACGAGGATCCAGGGTCCGACTTGGCGATTATCTGAAACCGTACGTTTTACAACTCTAAAGTTTTTTTCGGCAACGTCTTACGGCAATCCATACCTTGGTAATGTGGCAATATAAGAAAATTTCGACTTCCTGATATTACCATATTACCAAGGTATCGATTGCCGTAAGTAGTGTCGTCATTTCCGTAATTAAAACGTGTGTAAGCGAAAGTTTGAAAACGCCTAGGCAACGACAGTAAACTTCGCCAAAAATTGCCAAAAAATCGATGCGCAAAAAACAGCGATTTTAATGAACTTCGTTTGATATACTTTTCATTATAATAATATTTAGAATGTGGATTTCCAATATATACAAATCAAGGGCCAAAACTCACCCTTCAGCTTGACCCTCGATAGCAAAAATATAATCGGCGCAACCAGATAGAACTGCATCTCAACCGCCAACGACCAGGTATGTAAAAACGGCATCTTTGCAGTATCCTTAACAAAATATTACCAGCTGTCTTCTCTATATTACTAATTTTAATGTTGTATTATGTACTACCTCTGCAAAATAGTCGCCTTCTGATCTGAGCATATTAAAATTAATGTAAAATAGTAGTGACGATGGGTAATGTGAAAAATATCGATTCGCCCACTGTTGAGTATACGAAAACATCATTGCAATGCCTGGAAAAAACGAAGTTTTAACAAAAAATTTTTAATAGCTATCCACAGCCTAAATCAATACTAACCTGCCGCCGCCATCACCATAAAATACAAAGGACATATCCGCTTCATCCGCTTGTAATAAAAGTTCAAAAATAGTTCGCGAAAATTCTGCTCGGTTTTAGACAGGATTCCCATGATTAAATATGCAGAAATTACAAAGAATCTCAATAAAAAGTGTAAAATTTCATGCAAAAACTTACAAATCTACTCCAAGAAATCCCAGGGCAAAAACGTGAGGCCAAAAATGGTAGCCGAGGACGGCGAGGATGGCCAACGCTCGGAGGAGGGCAACATCTTCACGGAATTTTCGTTTTTCTGGAATATAAAAAAAGATCAGTCATCTTAATTTGTACAAACCATATAAGTTTCTATATAAAAGTAAGCCGAGTTTTTAATTATGTCATGTCTTAGGCAAAACAGATAAAGTTCAAAATTCACGACTTTCTATTTCACTCTGTGAATGCTCCACCGTGAATTCGAATTGAAATTTATTTAATTTTAAAGCATTAGAAATTTGGGAATCTCTAGCAATTAAATCACTTTATTTAGCCGAATACGAATTTGTTGAAACTAAAGTGAAGTAATTAAATATACTAATTTTTGAAAGTATTTTTTACTAATCGAGTTAACTGATTTTAGCGATTTTCAGCGTTTAATTTTGTTAAAGGTTATCTTAGTTTATTTATTATAGATTTATTTAGACAGAATATTTATTTAGACAGAATTACCATCCTGTTCGAACTAATCTACGCAATTTTAGGATGAGATTAACAAGGATGAACTCGGATCGGTTGAACTGGAGCATCATCAAGCGAAATCTGATATGTAACGTCGATTAGCGGCTGCTTTTTCCATTACTATCGAAAGTACAATATATGTTATGGCGCTTCGAACGTCAGTAACTTCGGTGAACCCCCAACCGGTCAGACGCTCTCGGGCTGGCTTTTCCCCGGAAGTAGCTGGTGGCACTGGCCGGGGAGTAGATTTCAATCTCCATCCTTCTGTTCCGGCTAAGCTTGACCGCACACTCAAAAATGTGGATCGGTTGTTCGCGGTTTTTGAAACGCCGCTCGTGTGAAATTGGTACCAAAATTCGAGGATAATTGAAAAAGACTTCATTTAACTCAATTAAAAGTTAAAAAATTGAATTAAAAAATTGTTGAATGGGATTTTCTCGAGCGAATCTTCCTCTTCCTATAAATTTCTAGATTCCTTAAACAAAATCTTAAATTTTCGCAGTCGATTACGCTATGGAAAGGGGGAGCGCGTGGGTTACGTATAGCTGCCGAAGCTGTAAAAATCCTACCATCCTGCCGCCGCCAGCAGTAAACGCTCGCGTTCAGCAATTTTAGCAAGCTGAGAGGTTTGTTATGTTTCGGGCGCTATTGAACGTTCTGCGTGACATCGCCAAATGCGAAAAGGGCCTGGAAACGTTCCCGGGATAACACCATATCTTTCAAAAATACACATAGTGTTACCATCCTGACCTGTTAATAAGCTAGAGCCTTGACTTCCTCCAATCCTCTTGTGATGACAGCTGTAGTATAACTTCAACACCCTCTTTTTGCAAAAAGACTTTATCCGTCCCGGGATCTGTACTTTGCCTCCACTCTTCCCCCGCCAGGCTAGCCCCAATACCGCAAATTTCGCTAGCAACGGAACCGGCTCGTTGCCAGCCGGCCGAAACTTCGGGTGCGCAAAACAACGGGCAAGGTCAAAATCCTTGTACTCCCGGAGCTCCTACTCTACAAAATTAGACCAGGAAGTCGTTGGTCGAGAACGAAGACCATTTTCTCGGGGTATCTGCCGCCACTTTTTAGGGTACGACTATTCATGTCTTATGGTCTAGGAGAGCAGAATTTACTGCTTAATGGATCCGGTCACCGAGCCAAACGACGTGTTTTCAAATTTAAATCTTAATTGTTTCAATAATATTTGAAAATACGCTTATCGGGGGTAGCGGGCGTAGCCCGCTAACCCTTTTTGGTTTGAGGTACCCCCCCATACGACTCTTTTGGGGTCCTTTTCCGGATTTAAAAAAGAACCATGCATCGGATCGCGAAACTGAATACACCATCGGAACCGGCGACACTTTTTGCATACTATAAGCTTTTAAAAATTGAAAAAAAGTTAAACTTCGAATTTTAACAGCCGATTTAAATTGCGTTTCGAGGGGGGGGGTCTGCGTTTGTTTGTATGTATGTATGCCCGCAAAACCTTTGTAGTCGTCAAAAAGTGCCTTCCCACCATCCGTTTGGGCTGAAATTTTTTACAGTTATTGGGTGACTGATAATCTCCGGACCCGCAAGAAGAGTTTTTTTCAAAATTGGCTTTTAAATATTTATATTTAATTTTGAAGTTTAGAAGCTAAATTGCGGTAAAAAACAATGGTTAGTGATGTCCGTTTGGGCTGAAATTTTGCTCAAATATACATTAGACCATGCTGGAATAAGTAGAAGAAGAAATTGCAACGAAAGAATGCTTTTTCTCTGAGAGATGTATAACTCTTTTAAACCCTTCTTCATACGGGGCGCCACCCTCCCCCTTTGGCGGGCCCCAGTCCGGAGTCAGCAGGGCGGGTCTAGCTCCCCAAGACAGGCCCGCCAGTCTCTGTGCAGGCCTAGTGGTTAGCACGCTGCACAGGGAAGACTTGGCTCCCAAGGTTCGAACCCCACCAAAAACATGGTTTTTGCCGATTGGCCCCCGTGCATCCTTATGGTTTCTAGTGCCGTCACAAAGCGCCGCATGGTAATTTTTTTGTAGTTGTGCGTACAAGGGTTCATCTGAATGAGTATTCCTTGGCTTATTTTACGATCTTAACAATAAGATTGAGGCCAAAAAAGAGCTAAATTGTCTCTCTAAGGCTAAAGAGTCTTTTTAAAAAGGGCTTTTGGTTTTCGCAAAAGGGACGATTTCTACGTGGCAACAAAAGAGCTAAATTCCTTACAAACTCTTAAAAATGCCACAGAATGTGGGATCAACCAAAAGTTGCTGGCACCTTGATATTAAAATGGACGATCTAGTTTCTCAGCGGTTTCGGCTTGCAAAGAATTTCTGTTATGATCTATTTGCACTTTCTTGAAATTAATCTGTGGGCCTGACCTGTGATCTGGGATGGTACCGAGTTTATTAAGGTTTTAAATAGCCAGCAACTTTTTTGTTGTTCCCGCATTCTGTAGCATTTTTTAAGAGTTTGAAAGGAATTTAGCTCTTTTTGTTGCTACGAGAATTCGTCTCTTTTTGCGAAAACCAAAAGCCCTTTTTAAAAAAGACTCTTTAGCCCTTAGAGAGATAAATCTATCAATCCGCAGCTGCCAATTTTGCACGTTTCGACGAAAATGGCAACAAGAAAAAACCTCATATATTATGCGTTTTTGAGCTTTTTTTAGGAAAACGGGATTATATGATAACATTAATTGGATAGTTTGGCTACAAAATCTCGATGATACGAAAAGCTATCATTAATGTGGGTTCAAAGTTCGCTGTCAGGACCCTTCTCAAACACCAGGTCAACTGACAGATGGCCGACGCAAGAACGAAACTTGTTGTTGACCTCATCTCAAGATATCTCAAGCCAGTTTTTTCTTCACGATGGTCGATAAGAGGAGCTCAACTTTTCTAAGGTTGACAGATCGCCAAAGATCGGCCGTCTACTTGAACGTGCGCCTGGAGGATGAAGTCGACTGCGCAAGGTGGCGAAGGTACTCAGCGAACGTTTTGGGCTGACGATTTACTTTCTACATACCTTTCCCGGAATATCAGATCATATTTTTAAGGTTTTGCAAAACGGGCATTGTTAAAATGACCGTTTGCACCATAACAACTTTTCTAAAACATCCTTTCCTCGAATTTGGCTCGATTTTCCGAATATATTGGCTTTTCGTCTTCAAATCTATAAAAATCGGGTTTAAATCGCATTAAGATATTCAAAATCCGAAAAATATTGGTAAGACCCTAAATTTAAATAGCTGTAGATCTTTGCCGAACGGCCAGCCGATCGTTTTCTGTTGCAAACACGGTTCCAAGAGGTGCAGGTTCACGGTGCAGGGGAGGCGGTCAGTCGGATCAAGTCTCACTTCTACACAATTCTCAATTCAGGGTTTGGGAAGGCCGGGCAGTTGCCTTTGGATATCCGAACATTTTCCCATGGGACACATTTTCGATGACTTTGGGAGCCCAGAGCTCCCGATGAGCCTCGTTGTGGATTTTCGGTAAGTTCGACTCTGCCCAGCGTCATTTTTTTGTTACCTTTTTAGCTCGCCTGGGAACCCCAACACCGATCAAATATGGAGCCGACAAAAAACCCTGCGCGGGGATCCGGCTTTACAGTACGCCTTCTTCAATCAGCGGACAGATCTGATGCCGCCCTCCCATGTCCATTTCATTCAAACACTAATGCAGCGGTGGGTTAGGAAATTAGTGCAAGTGCTCACAAAAGCACCGTTTTCTGGATCTGGTTCTGAACCGGGGGTCTTTTGGGAAGTGATCATGCGGAGGAAGGCCACGCCTGCCCCATTTCCGGAACCAGAACCCAGGGTTTTTTTTGGCATTGCACGGTTAATAACACAATCTGACAAAACGGCAGCGACTTACAAAAGAACCACCTAAGGTCAAAGTGGCGTTTCGTTATAGGACCCAGCCTATTTTATTGTAGAATTTTTTGCTGATTCCGAACCCGCTTTCAATTTTTGCTTTAAATAGCTCAATTTAAAAAGTTATAGCGATTTTATGGTCATATCTGTGCCCGCGGGAAGTCATCTGTCACGATGCCCAACTTTTTTGTTTTACAATAGGGCAGTCGATTTTTAATAGCCTATCTTGTAGAGAATTTTTTCTGATTCGATTGGTATATTTCATTAGTGCGCCACGACCTATCGACGATCACTTACGGGGGTGTGAAATAGGCAATTTTTCACCATTTCCCCATACAAAAACGAAAGGGTCCATACCAAGTATCGTCGATTTTTCCAATTTTCAACAATTTTTGAGTTAATAATTCATTCGATAGAGAAGAATTTCTGAATACCATGGCGATA